TTCCACCAAGCTTCAGCTTCACCCTCCAACATGTGAGTACCAAACCTCACCTTCTGCTCATCACTGCACTCCATGGTCCTAAAAATCTTCTCAATCGTCTTCAGCCACTTCTGTGCAGCTTCCGGATCCTAGATCCCTCCTTCAAACTTCAGTGGCTTATTATTCTGAAACTGCGTCAAATCTCTAAATTGCGCACCTGCAGCCAGATTCTGATTGGCAACCACATGCGTCATCGCTTGCATAGCTGCAGCCAAAGCATCATCATTACTCCCTGCCATACTGCTCAACCAAAACAACACTGGGTCAAAAGACACACAACCTCTATCCTAAGGACAGACTCAAAACACTACACTGGCCGGACGAATCGACCTGCTCTGATACCAACTTGTAACACCCCGTTTCCCAAAATGAAAATAAAGCAATTAAAACAAACAATTATAAGAGTTCTCCCCAAAACAGGATGTCACTTTTCACAAAATTCCACAAAACATTTCTTTCAAATAATTTTTCAACAATAATGCAACGGAAAAAGTTTATCACGTAAATATATATACATAAACATCATCCACATTAATTCGGCCATCTGCCAAAAATAGACAAACATATACATGACAACAGATCCAACAAAACATGATATGACACGGAGTCAAACATAATCATCAAATAGATAAATAACCCCCAAAAGCCCCGTGTTACGTATCAGAGCATCCCTACGACTCGACTCGCCACAATCCAAGCTAGCTACGCACCTGGATTGTTTGTACTTCGAAGAAGCACATACCACAACAACAACAACGAGGGGTGAGAAATCACGATCAAAAATGTAACGGTAATAATGTACATGAATAAAGGCAGAAACATATAAACATCATTTCACATACATAAAGTCCGGACCTACTGTCCCACGCCAACACAACACACATAACGATGCAACACATGCAACTCCACACAATGATATGCGGTACCGACTCAAACTCAGGATAGATCACTTACGCTCCATCCGAGACATGATCTATCCCTACCACGCTCCTTCTGAGCCCATATAATCAATTTCAGGATAGATCGCTTATGCTCCATCCGAGACACGATCTATCCCTACTACGCTCCTCCTGAGCCCATATAATCAGTTTAAGGATAGATCGCTTACGCTCCATTCGAGACACGATCTATCCCTACTACGCTCCCTATTTGGAGCACGAGTGAATAACTTACGCTCCATCCGAGACATGATTCAACCCGTCCACATGCTATGCAGGACATCAATGCACACAGCAACCACAAGCACCCACGGTGCACACGATCCTACTGATCCATTTCCTCATATATCACATATACTTACATTTATAGGCATATATATTTCACACATCACCACATACATGTACCATAACATACACCAATTAAAATATCATACTCACACGAATGCCACGGAATTCGCGTTCCGACACCACATATACGTTCACCTCAGCTCACTAATAAGCTCATCATCAAACATGACCAACAAGGGTCCAAAACCACAAAGGAATCTAAACAGAACAGCAGCAGAACACAAACTATTGTCGAGCTCGCTGGCCCATTCGCCTGGCGAAGCCCCGCAGCTAACACTCGCTGGCCCATTCGCCTGGCGAAACCCCTGGCGAAGCCAGACAGTGGCTACTGGCAGCACTCACTGCCCAGTTTGCCTGGCGAAGGCTCGCCCCCTCATTCGCATAGCAAAAGCTGGCGAACACCTGCGATTTTCGAAAAATCACACTGTTCAGAATCAACCATTCTCTCCGAACTCGCCCGATTTTACCAAAATCAGCTTCTAACACGACTAACCAACATTCTAATACTAAACCCCAAACTCTATTCTCCATTCCATTTGATAAAACTTCAGCTCTACTCAATTAATCAACTTCCGACTTAAAACGGTAAACTACCGGAAACCCTAAAATCAACCCAACACTCACATGCAATGGATTAATCATCTCAGCAGTAATCAAAATCACAACACCATATCAATTCGATTCATCAAAAACCTATGGGGTTAGGGAAATCCCCTTCTACCAATGATTCATGCATTACCGAAATTTAACCGATCCCCCCTACCTCAAATACGCAGCTCGGATGAAGAATCTTCAAGAAATCCACAGCCAAGTTCCCCTTGCTTCTTCCTCCAACCAGCTCTCTTTCTTTCTAGCTCAAGCGTTTTCTTCTTCCTCTTCCTCTCACGATCGTGCTACTCTTCTCATGCGTGCTCTTTCTCTCTATTCCTTTTCCAATTTCCACAATTGCCCCTAATACCCCAAAAATCCTCTTTTTAATTCCAATAATTCCAATAATACTATTTCCTCATTTTCTTAATTCCAAATTAATATTAAAACCTCATAATATTAATAATAATAATAATAATAATAATAATAATAATAATATCAACATTAATATTAATTATTAATTATTATCATTATCGATTATATAATATTAATACTATGCTCCTTATTTCCTCAACAACTTCCACACAAGGCACGCCGAAACAAAACAATACGGGAAAACTTAGATAATTAAAATGGGCGTTACAACTTTGACCATCATGTTTGTTGTAGCTGCTCTCACCCCTTTGACTTGTCGAATTCCTTGAATTTTGGGACTCTTTTTCCATCAAAATTATGAAAAAAATTCCCTTTGTTCTTCGTGAGCCATTTTCATTTCAATCTATTTTCTTTCTCATTGAAATGAGCTTGCAAAGCGATCTCCGCCTTTTCCTTATTGTTGTTCCTCTCTTCCATCCTTTGCACATGAGCCTCGAGAGAGTTTTGTAAATCCTCTTTACTCATCGCCGCAAGATCCTCCGACTCCTCAATCGCCACAACCATGTTGTCGAATCTTGGTGTTAACGAATGTAATATTTTAGCCACAACATACTGCTCCGTAATGGTTTCTCCGCATGCTTTCACTTGGTTCACCAACCGAGCGATTCTCGTCACGAAATCGTTGCTTGTCTCCTTCTCTTCCAGTTGAATTAATTCAAGTTGTCGATTATAAGTTTGTAACCTCCCTACATTCGCCTTGTTAGCCCCTGCATAAGCTTTCTCTAAGATCTCCCATGATTGCTTCGACGAATCGCAATCACCAACTGTCGATTATAAGTTTTCTACATTATTTGTTATTATTTTTATTATTTTCAATTTATGTTCCTCTCTTTCTCAAATCCCTTCTCCAAAACCCTAAATTCCACCTTCTTCTCTCTTCTTCTTAGATCTTCTTCTCTTTTTTCACTCTTCTTGTTCTTCTTCAATCTCACATGTCTATATTTCAATTTTAACACAAACTACATTATTTTGCTAAGAATTAGATTCTAGAGATTACAAATAATCCCAAGGTAATGAAGTGGATTAAGAAAATTAGAAGAGAAATTCATGAATATCCTGAACTTGCCTATGAAGAATTCAAGACAAGTTCTTTAATAAGACGCGAGCTTGATGATATAGGTGTTGGTTATGAATGACCAGTGGCTAAAACATGTGTTGTTGCTAAGATTAGTTATGGATTTCCTCCTTTTGTTGCTCTTAGAGCTGGCATGGATGCTTTGCCTATTCAGGTAAATAAACACACATTTTGCAAAAACATCATTTTCTTGTGTTTCTATTAAGAGTTTGTTTTGTTTATTTATTTACTTTACTTTATTTTCTTTGTTTGAAATCACAGTGAGGTTGATGAAAATACAAGTTATTATGTTGTTCAATCATCTTAATTTGATTGAAACATGTGTTTTTTGTATTTGTTAATTACCAACAGGAACTCATTGATTGGGATCATAAGAGCAAAGTAGATGAAAAAATGCACGCTTGTGCTCAGATGCGCATGTTGCGATGCTTCTTGGTGCTGCAAAGATACTGCAAGAAATAAAAGACTAGTTAAAGGTAAAGTTGAATTGAAAAAATGTTATATGAGCTTTATCGAAAATCTTCCATTAAAAACTAATTAGTCCTTCACATACAGGTTACGGTTGTTCTTATATTCCATCCAGCCGAGGAAAAAGGCTTAGGTGCGAAAGATATGATACAAGAAAATGTTCTTGAAAATGTAGAGGCGGTTTTTAGATTGCATTTAGTAACAAAGTATTCCTTAGGATTGCGTCGCGGTCAGGAAATTTTCTAACCGGATGTGGATGCTTCAAAGAAGTTGACTTCTATGGTAAAGAACATCCAACAATTCTTCCAACAACAAATGATGAGAGAATATACCAACGAGGCAAACAAGCCTAAGCATGATGGTTGGAGAAGAGAACATTAAACTAACACAAACCTCAAGGAGTGAAGATTTTGTATTTTTCTTTATTCAATTTTTTGTAAATTAATTAATAATTTTTATGTTTTTTCCTGAGTTAATTATGTAAATTAATTAATTTAATTTTTATGTTTTTCCAGAGTTAATTATATAAATTAATTAATTTGAGTTAATCTTGATTCCATTTATGTTTTTCTAAGTCAGTTATTGTTGATATACTTTTTATGTTAATTAATTAATAATTTTTATGTTTTTTTTTAGTTTAAAGTTATTTTTGTTTGTTTTTTTAATTTTTAATTTGTATTATTATTACAGGGTAAACACGCTACCCTGACATTTACTAATGGTCTAACACCTGAAGTAACGGAAGAGATAACCGAAGTAATATTACAGGACCAAATCTAATCAATTTTTTATTGAAAGACTATATCACAACTCATAAATAACTTCGGAGACTTGGAACTAATTATGCCAATAATATTTGTTGCTTGCTTACTTTCCAGGGTTCAGGTTCATGCATTCTCCTAGTCAAGTTCATCTTGGCGCGGGTAAGAGAGTTTTGAGGTACATATACCAATTTCCCTTCACACAAGTAACAAATTTATTCCACGTAATCAGATACTAAATTTTCATACATTTTCACAATATCCAATAACAGGGACAAATACACGAGAGAAAATGGGTATTAGAGTATAAACTTTGATCTCTTTCATAACAGTTGTATTTAATTACCACTACTGAGATGAATGATACACAATAGGAATCAAATACAAATCATGTTTCCTTTTTACAGACAAACCAAAAGATTCAGCCATATCAAGTTCTTCACCCTTATTTCCATCAACCATTTTCCAATCAAAATGGAAAAGCAAATTTGCTAGCAATATTTCAACATTAACAACACCAAATGTTATACCAGGACACATTCTTCTTCCAGCACCAAATGGAATAAACTCAAAATCCACACCTTTGTAATCAACTTCACTATCAATGAACCTTTCCGGACAAAACTTGTTAGGCTCATTCCAATAGTTTGGATCCATTCCAATCGCATAAGCATTAACAATGACCTTAGTCTTCGCCGGTATCTCGTATCCATTGATTTCACATCTTTCACTACATTCCCTTGGTAGTAACAATGGAACGGGACTGTGTAGACGCAATGTTTCTTTTATAACTAACTTTAGATACTCTAGCTCATGAATGTTTGCTTCATCTACAAACCCTTTTGCATCAAACACTCTTCTTACTTCTGTTTGTGCTTTCTTCATCACTTTTGGGTGTCTGATAAGTTCTGACATTGCCCATTCTGAAGCTTTGAATGATGTACCACTTCCCGCACTAAATATATCCTGAAATAAACATGAATATAATTTCTAACACAGTGAATTTATATTGATCAGATACACCAGTTATTCAGCGAAAATAAAGAGTAAATTTTTGTTTATAATAGTGATCATAGTAAAATTCTATTTTCGCAGTTGATTTGAAAAAAGGAAAAAAACTAACCAACATGTTTGCTTTGATAATACTATCAGATAGAGGATGTTCAAGGTTATTCTCCTTCTGAAGCCTTAGCAGCACATCAACTAAGTCTTCACCATCTTTTTCATCATTTATCTTTGTTTCTAAACTTGTATCCCGTTTATGATATCTAAGAATTTTCTCAAGAATCCTATCTAATTCTCTATGCACCTTCTCAGATTTAGACCTTATACCTGACAAAACATGAAGAACTTTAAAAGAAGGAAACAAATCAGCTAGAGAAAAACCACCGATTAGTTTCGTAACATCCTTCATAGCAACCATAAACGCTTCTTGATCTTCAGATTTTCCGCCTAATGCGATCCTTGATGTTAGGCCATAAGAAAACAAACCAATCATCTTAGAAAGATTAATGGACGACCCTTCACTCAACCTTATCTCTTTCACAATATTTGACACCTCATGTTCCCGGATCGAACGAAACGATTCAACGCGTTTTGGTGTTAATAGTTCAAAGGTGCAAATTTTTCTCATTTGTCTCCAATAAGTACCATATGGTGAAAATGTTATGCCTTTTGAACCATAGGTTATGATATCAGCCGCTAGAAGATGTGGCCGGTTTGAGAATTTGGTGTCATGTGTTTTCATTATTTGTTTGGCGATTTCTGGTGAAGATACAACAATGATTGGAATTTCACCTAGTTTTATATGCATTAATGGTCCATATTTTTGTGATAGTTTTTTTAGGCTATGATGAGGCATTGAACCAAGTTGGTGCATGTTTCCTATAAGAGGTAGTTTTGGTGGTCCTGGTGGTAATTTGGAGTTTGAAGATTTTGGTTTTGTTGAACTCCATATTAGGATAAAGATAATGAATAAGAAGATGAAGACTAAGAAGATGGGAGATGAAATGATTTTGGGCTCAAGCTCCATGAATGAATTCGGAAGGAAAGAGTTAGTTCTGAAGTTTAGTGAACATGCGTTGCCACAATTTTTATAGGGTTCAATATTTTTTTAATTTATGGAACCGGGGGATCTTTAGAAACCGAAAACAACCAACCAAATAATATCCGCAACTTGTGGAGATCAGCACTAGTATGTCTTTGTCTGCATGCGAGGCATATCCGAAAAGATCCTTCAATGATTAATCTTTCTGACCTTTTATGTTTTTATACTTTTGTCTTTCTTATCCAAAAGATCCGTCTATTCCAAATATTTCTTCCAAAAACTAATATATATATATATATATATATATATATATATATATATATATATATATATATATATATATATATATATATATATATATATATATATATATATATATATATATATATATATATATATATATATATATATATATATATATATATATATATATATATATATATATATATATATATATATATATATATATATATATATATATATATATATATATATATATATATATATATATATATATATATATATATATATATATATATATATATATATATATATATATATATATATACCAACCCATGCTAATAACTATTACGCAACACGGGTCGGTTAAATTTGAATTACGGATATAAAAGTTTGTATAGGAATACTGTGGACAACACATATTACAGATTAATATTGCTAATATGAAAGTTTGTATACACATTTAAATTAAACAATTTGTTAAATTATAAAAATAATTGAGTGGTATTGAGTGAGTTCAAGGAATTATGATATATGAAGCTTAAACTCTAAGTATTGTTTGATTGTTTGTTTGTGTTTATTTTAAGTTTTGCTTATTTGTTTAGTTATGGAGCAAGACACCTCAATTATAAATATTCTCCAACCTCACATAATATACCAATAACCACGACACCTAATGTACCAACAACAACAACAACACCTATTGAACCAACCACAAATCTTCCTCATATTTCTAAGAAAAAAAGACCTAATGCAAATAGTAATAGAAAGAGATTTGAGGTTTGAGACGACTTTAACCTTATTGTTAATAGTGACCCTCCTGCTGCTGCTTGTAAGTACTGTCATCAAATTTACATATGTGATTCTAAGAAACATGGAACGTCAAACTTAAAGAGTCATATGAAAACATGCCCTAAGTATCTGTTGAACCTGTCAACAGACCCTACCAAACAATCTTGACATTTTCAACAACTCAGGGAGTTGGGTTGGTTCCAACAAGTTCTAGGTTTGATCTTGTAGCTTGTAGAAAGGGTTGACTTATTTTATCATTTTGGATGAGAAACTATTTATCACAGTTGAAGGAGGGGGGTTCAAGTACTTTTGTAACCAAATGCAGCCCCAATTTTGTATACCGTTAAGAAGAACCATAGCTAGAGATTGTTTTTAATTATATCTTGATGAGAAAGTGAGGTTGAGAGCATTCTTTAAGTCTGATTGTAGTAGGGTGGCAATTGCAACCGATTGTTGGACATCTATTCAAAATCTAAACTACTTGACCCTCACTGCCTATTATATTGATAGGGATTGGAATTACCAAAAAAGGATTATTAGGTTTATAGTTATTCCAAATCATCGTGGTAGAACTGTTGGTAAGAAGGTTGAGGATGTATTGAAGAAGGAGGGGCTGATAAATATTTCTACCATTACAGTAGATAATGTGGCATCAAATGATGTTGCTGTTAAATATTTAGAGCAGGAAGCAAGAAACATGAATAGACTTTTAATCGATGGGTTTGGGTTTCACATGAAGTGTTGTGCTCATATACTGGATTTGGTTGTGAGAAATGGATTAAAAAGTAGCCAACACCTCAATTTGAAGTGTTAGAAATGCAATTAGGTTTGTGAAATCTTCACCCCATAGAGCTTTAAAGTTTAAAGAGTGTGTGAAATATGTCGAGATTACATGTAAGAAGTCAGTATGTCTTGATGTTTCAACTAGATGGAACTTAACATATTTGATGTTAGATGCAGCTGAGAAGTTTCAAACTGCTTTTGATAAGCTAGAAGATGGAGATGAAAACTATAGGGATTTCTTTGACGATGATTACCCTTTAGTAGTCAAGATCGGGATAATGTTAGGACTTTTATTAAGTTTTTGAAGAAATATTATAAAGCATCAAAGGTCTTTTTTGTTTCAACAAAAGCAAGTTTGCATACTGCTTTTCCATTCTTGGCTGAAATCTACATTGAACCTAAGAAATTAAACATGGGCTTTAATGGATTGTTTGCTAATGTGGCACGAGACATGTTGGAAAAGTTTTATAAATACTGAGTTGATATCACTAAGATGAACCAGCTCCTTTATTTTGGTTTTATTTTTGATCCCTAGTATAAGTTAAAGATATGTGAAATGGTGCTTTGATGATATGTATGGAAAAGATTCAAACACTAATAAATATGTATTAGAAGATATCAATAAAAATATTTCAAAATTTTTTTGATCTTTACAAACAAGCCTATGACATTGCTGGAGGATTAGTCACATATGTTGCAACCGTTGTTTGGTGAAACGGATGCCAGCGATGAATTACCCACATATGTAGCTAAAGAAAATGTCTTTTAGGAACATTTGATGGCTATTGATTCAGTGGAAGAAGAAATCGAGTTATATTGAAGGAAAATGTTTAACTTTTAATGAAAAAAATAAAGAAAAGTTTAACATTCTTTGTTGGTGGAAACACAATGCTGGTCAATACCCAACTCTGTCCCAAATAGTTAGAGATATGATGCCTACATCAGTTTCAATTGTGGATTCTGAGAGTGCATTTAGCACAGGTAAGAGGATTTTAGAGGTATATAAAAGCTCTCTCAAATCAGAAATGGCCGAGGCTTTAATTTGTACTCAAAATTGGTTGATACCTTCCTTTTACCAATTCAAAGACATTGAATTCAATGAGGAGTACGAGATATCTGAAGATACTTTACTAGGTATTGCGTCTATTTTTCTTTAAGTGTAATTTTTTATTCTGTTTGTAAAATGTTAAAGTGAAGGTTTTCTTATTATGTTCATAATTTCTTATTATATTTTAAATATATTTTAGGATTTATTGAAACTTCAGCCGGAAGTGGAACACCATCTTCTTTTCATACTCAGTCACAACCTTCGATTTGTGCTTGAAACATATTTGGGTTCAATTCCCTTGTGTTTTCGGTCATGTGTTTTTGTTAAATAAAACATGTATTCTTATGTTTTTTTATTGTATTTGCAACAGATACTTTTTGAATTTTTTAGAATCATGAATGACTCGTATTTTGAATCTATGTATAACACAACCAAACACTTTTTGAAAGAATATCTAGAAACTTTTGTTCTAAGACACTTTTAAAAAAATGCTTTTATAGGTACCACTACTATATGTTTTTAATGTATTTTGAACTTTGCTATGTAATGCTTATGTTGATCTTTTGATATCCAATTTGACTAGATATGTGTATGTGAAAAGTTATGTTGGTTTTGATGTTAAATGCAGATGAGAAGTTTGAAATTGGAATTGCTTTTGATACAATCAAGTGGCTTATGAGTTCTTGAGAACTAGTTGGATACATCAGGTATGAAGTTTAAATGAATAATCATGTTTGGTTGTTGAATGTATCAGAAAGTATAAATGAATAATTATGTTCGGTTGCAGGCTACATCAATTAAGATATGAGTCATCTTTGATAAGAGTTTCACCTTGAATCTACATTTTGTTTGATAAATCAATCTAAAAGAGATGGAGTATCTTTGAGTCAGGATTGCTTTGTTTCCAGAATTTAAACATTTTGTTGTTGCTGGTTGAGGTCTTACATATTTTGTGCATATTAACATGATTTAGATATGGAGTTTCTTCGTTTATATAAGTATAAAAGAATGAAAATACTGATTAAAGTGGAAGTTTTGTCAGCCATTAACAACCAACTAGTTTTCTCAATTGTTGGATTTGATAAGTTTATATTTCCAACCATGTACTTAACATAAATTTATTGTTGTTGATTGTTACTAGTTATACTTGGTTGGTGTTGTTGTACTCGTTAATTAGTAATTATTGATATTCAATCCCACCAAGTTTTCTCTTCACCTTAGCTCATTTTAATATCTTGTTACTCCAACAGCTTTATGAAGATGACATGTGCATATGCATATTGGATACAAATTCGTTGAGTCATGGGTAAGGTATTATATGTCTTATGTGCAATTCCATATTCCAATGTTTTTGTTGTTGTTATTTCATAATTTTGGTTGCATGTACATTTGGCGATACACTTTGAAACAAGATATTATTTCTCTTGATGTAGGAGACTCAAGTTTCACTGCAGCAGTATGTTTTAGTTATGGAGCAAGAAACTCCAACAATACTCTTCTATTTTAGTTATGGAGCAAGACACTCCAACAACAACAACAACAACACCTTGTGAGTTAATGAAAACTAGATGATAAATAATCTACCATGAGAACAAATGTGGTTAATATAGTTGTGGTTGCTAGGCTATTGTAGAAACTTGTAAAACGTTTTATAAGAAATGCTCATGACACAGAATTGTGGGTGTATGGAGAGTTTCAGAGTTGAATTAAGCTGGCTGGTGGAAAGACAGAACCACAGTGGAAGATATGAACCTAGCGGTACGCGTAAGTCTCACGATATGGACCCAGTTGCTATGGTGCTTAAGGAAGATAACTCGTGTTTTAAATTGACTGTATTGACAAATTTGTGATTGGTTGTGTTGTTATTAAATTTATACCGGTTGTATTATATTTGAGGCCCATATAAAAATAAATCATAAACCAGTAGATATTTGAAAAAAAGATTATTTGAATTTTTTTTAAAACTGGCCCAACATTGACGCAATATGCAATGAAAAGTTTGATTTTTTTTAAATGGGCCCAAAGTAGTGATAAAACCAAAAAAAATCGAAATTCAAATCCGATTGGAGGAATTCAAATCCGATTGGGCATTTGCGTCTTTGAAAATAGTAGGCCAATAAAA